AACCTCTACAGAGTGCCACCATATTGCTGGAATAATGCTGAGTTCGGCATAAAAAACCCCAAACAAACTACAAACCACAGTTACTATATTTCTGCTTTAAATTTCATTAGTAAATCATCTGTAGATCTTCAACCGTTTTATATTGCAATGAACAAAGGAAATCGAACTCTTTGAACCACTGGGTTATCAAACTGATATCAGGGGCAGTAAAATTATTTAAGCAATCCCACAAAAAATTTTGAAGTAATTAAAAACATTTCAAAGTGTGGAAACATTTTTAAACAGATCAAATTAAAAAAATATAATCTAAAATATTAAAATAAATCTTTCTGAATTATTCCTTAAGATTATACTTTTCACAGAGTGAGGGGTGACACATCGGAGGAGTGAGCTGGGTTTAAACAGCTGGGAACAACATAAGAAATTGTTACATAATTACAGTAGGGAAGGCCAAAATGTCCCCAGTCACAGACATTTCCCAGCAAGCACATTTGTTGTGCTCATACACCAAGGGTCGGAAGAGGAGGGTGACTGGGGTGGAATCTTGTCAAATGCATGTAACTCCTCGCACTGATTATAGTGAGTGAGTAACTAACTTTACTGTTACGCCGCTTTTAGCAATATTCCAGCAATATCATGGCGGGGGACACTAGAAATGGGCTTCACACATTGTACCCATGTGGGGAATCGAACCCGGGTCTTCAGCATGATGAGCGAACGCTTTAACCACTAAGCTACCCCACCGCCCCACACTGATTATATGATTGTTCTGCCACATTTAACTGAAGAAAGCAAGGGAGCATTTTCAAACAATAAATCATATAATTATATTAGTTCTTTTATATGCAGTACAATTTTGTTTGCAATAAAACTGGATTATGACTAATATATTTTGATATATATTAACTCTGTCAATGACAAGGATAATGGTTTCATAATAATGATTTTATAACTGTGTTCTGGATAGTTCCTAACTTTCAATTCAATAAACTGAGTGAAGATATTACTGGATATCTGTGAATAATTCCTTCATGTAATCTTCGGGGACAAATAAAGGAGGTAAAACATTTCAATATGGTTATGAAATAAGCCGATAAAAACCAATCTTCTGCAAATGAACTATTCCCTGAACTTTCTCCTAACTTCCACATTAAATGGAAAATCTTTAGCACATGCAACTCAAATAATGAATTGTTGTGTTTCTATGGAAGGTGTGGGAGTGAAAAAGCCAGGTCTGGAAGGTAAGTGAGATTCTGTCAGATTAATGCCATTAATAGTCCTGAACAAACAAATCATTATGCAAGCCAAAAAATGTTCAATATCAGAAGATGAAACAGCAACAAGATTAGGATGAAGTACTGGGAACACTGTTGATGTACAGACAAAGTTACTTTACTAAAACACTACTGCTATATCCATCACACACTGACAAAGGCAAGATTTAAGCAAGAGGTCCATGAAACAAACAAACTAAATGCAAACATTAGCAATAGTCCAGCAAAAACCATTCTAACTGAAGTATGATCCCACGTGACAAATGAACTGTTATCCCATTGTCCCAGGAAACTACCAGGTGATTACTGTAAGTTGTATGCTTCTCTCGAGGGTAATACGGTCTGATGTACACCTCTTTGTAGCAGTGTCACCCGAGCTGGTAGGCTCATAATAAAAAGTACGGAAAACGTATAACCCAAGGGAAATGTTTACAACATATTTATCTTACCGCCATGTTGAATGTACAAAATATCATTTTATTTTATTTTGAAGATCGATAAGCTTGCTATTGACTATATGACATGTAAACAAAATGGTGTCTGCCTCTCAACTGGATCTTTAAAATCTGTGAAACATATTCTGACAAGCTTACAACTGCTATAAAAATGGTAAATTAAGTTTATGTTGAGTGTGAAAACGATTCAATGTATAACATGGTTTAAATAAGCAGTGTGAAAGTCAGTAAAATAAATATATACTCAGTGAACTAAAAAACAGCTAATCGAACGTTTTTCGAACTCCGTGCACTGCATGCATTATACTATGACATCATACGATCGTTAGCAATACAGCTTCTTGGCGGAGAGTTTACCGGTTAGCGTGGCAGCGGGTGATATTTATTTTTTTAAATTAAAGTATTGTACATGAAGATAAGGTAATGTCACTTATATCACCCCAATACAGAGATATTCTGAACCTTCATACTGAGTGTCATTGATATAGGTGACCCAAGGTCGTAACAAGCGAACGCTTTAACCGCTAGGCTACCCCACCGCCCCTATTTTACATGAAGATAAGATAATGTCACTTATATCACCCCAATACAGAGATATTCTGAACCTTCATACTGTCATTGATATAGGTGACCCAAGGTCGTGACAAGCGAACACTTTAACCGCTAGGCTACCCCACCGCCCCTATTTTACATGAAGAAAAGATAATGTCACTTATATCACCCCAATAAAGAGATATTCTGAACCTTCATACTGTCATTGATATAGGTGACCCAAGTCGTGACAAGCGAACGCTTTAACCGCTAGGCTACCCACCGCCCCTATTTTACATGAAGATAAGATAATGTCACTTATATCACCCCAATACAGAGATATTCTGAACCTTCATACTGTCATTGATATAGGTGACCCAAGGTCGTGACAAGCTGAGCGGCTTTAACGCTAGGCTACCCCACCGCCCTATTTTACATGAAGAAAAGATAATGTCACTTATATCACCCCAATACAGAGATATTCTGAACCTTCATACTGTCATTGATATAGGTGACCCAAGGTCGTGACAATGAAGCGCTTTAACAGCTAGGCTACCCCACCGCCCTATTTTACATGAAGAAAAGATAATGTCACTTATATCACCCCAATACAGAGATATTCTGAACCTTCATACTGTCATTTGATATAGGTGACCCAAGGTCGTGACAAGCAATAACGCGCTTTAACCGCTAGGCTACCCACGCCCTATTTTACATGAAGATAAGATAATGTCACTTATATCACCCCAATACAGAGATATTCTGAACCTTCATACTGAGTGTCATTGATATAGGTGACCCAAGGTCGTGACAAGCGAACACTTTAACCGCTAGGCTACCCCACCGCCCCTATTTTACATGAAGATAAGATAATGTCACTTATATCACCCCAATACAGAGATATTCTGAACCTTCATACTGTCACTGATATAGGTGACCCAAGGTCGTGACAAGCGAACACTTTAACCGCTTCAGGCTACCCCAAGCCCTATTTTACATGAAGATAAGATAATGTCACTTATATCACTTTAATACAGAGATATTCTGAACCTTCATACTGTCATTGATATAGGTGACCCAAAGATTCGTGAATGTTTAACACTTTAACCGGCTAGGCTACCCACCCCCCTATTTTACATGAAGAAAAGATAATGTCACTTATATCACCCCAATACAGAGATATTCTGAACCTTCATACTGTCATTGATATAGGTGACCCAAGGTCGTGACAAGCGAACACTTTAACCGCTAGGCTACCCCACCGCCCCTATTTTACATGAAGAAAAGATAATGTCACTTATATCACCCCAATACAGTGATATTCTGAACCTTCATACTGTCATTGATATAGGTGACCCAAGGTCGTGACAAGCGAACGCTTTAACCGCTAGGCTACCCCACCGCCCCTATTTTACATGAAGATAAGATAATGTCACTTATATCACCCCAATACAGAGATATTCTGAACCTTCATACTGTCATTGATATAGGTGACCCAAGGTCGTACGTTTGACAAGAACACTTTAACCGCTAGGCTACCCCACCGCCCCTATTTTACATGAAGATAAGATAATGTCACTTATATCACCCCAATACAGAGATATTCTGAACCTTCATACTGTCATTGATATAGGTGACCCAAGGTCGTGACAAGCGAACACTTTAACCGCTAGGCTACCCCACCGCCCCTATTTTACATGAAGATAAGATAATGTCACTTATATCACCCCAATACAGAGATATTCTGAACCTTCATACTGTCATTGATATAGGTGACCCAAGGTCGTGACAAGCGAACGCTTTAACCGCTAGGCTACCCCACCGCCCCTATTTTACATGAAGAAAAGATAATGTCACTTATATCACCCCAATACAGAGATATTCTGAACCTTCATACTGTCATTGATATAGGTGACCCAAGGTCGTGACAACAAGCTTTAACCGCTAGGCTACCCCACCGCCCTATTTTACTGAAGATAAGATAACCAATACAGAGATATTCTGAACCTTCATACTGTCAATGATGACAATGAGGCCATGTGACACAAGATCACTGACACATGTGACATTTCAAGATCACTGACACATGTGAAAGATCACTGTCATCATGATGACATGCGACACAAGATCACTGACACATGACTGCAATATGTGATCACATCAACGTGACACATGTGACACAAGATCACTGACATGCAACACAAGATCACTGACACATGTGACACAAGATCACTGACACATACGACACAAGATCACTGACACATGCGACACAAGATACTGACACATGCAACACAAGATCACTGACACATGCGACACTCGATCGCTGATGCCTTGACTGCTGAGTCACTTGACAAAGATTACCCAAGGTAATTCTTACATCATCAAAAGGCACACAAACTACAAATACTCCACAAGATATGAAAGCAAAGGTGCGCAATACTGGCACAAGCAATATCCATACAACAATCAGCACACCAGGCACAAAGACAACCTCTCAATGGTGAGGACTGTCATGTTCCAACCTCTGTTGACTAATGTAACCTAAAATATTTGTTTTGTTTTCCACGATCCAATTTATACAAAATTAAAAAAAACTTCTTGCATTTTATGTTCATAAAACTAAATGACATATTTCCTTCAAAACGATTAAAATTCCAACTAAAAGAAACAAGCGTAAATATACTTGTGTTGATAAACTGCACCATTAGTAATAAAAAAACTTCCACCTTTTGTAAAGTAATAAAAAAACTTCCACCTTTTGTAAAGTAATAAAAAAACTTCCACAAAAATATATAGTCTTCAGAAGGAATTAATCAAATAGAATATAAGGCTTAAGTACTCCCCTAATTATGTATCTAAACATAAATGGAAGTATTGATTTAATAAATAATATTTTATAAAAACAAATGTGTGCCAACAAAATATATTTTCAATAAAAAAAGATGTTTATGTGTATTTAAACATAATGGAAGTATTGATTTAATAAAAATATTATTTAAAAACTAATGTGTGCCAACAAAATATATTTTCAATAAAAAAAAGATGTTTATGTGTATTTAAACATAATGAAAGTATTGATTTAATAAATAATATTATTTAAAAACTAATGTGTGCCAACAAAATATATTTTCAATAAAAAAAAAGAAGTTAATGCCATGTTGAGATGTTCATCAATTTACCCAGTTTTCTTGAGTAACAGTACATCTAGGCTTCGCAGGATAAGCATCCTCAAAGGGTTTTTCTGATAAAATAAATTTGTAACTTGGCCTGTAACATAACTTATTTAAATTGTCATCATGATTCTAGATGTGTCAAACCTCATTGTGGCATAGCCGTGGAGACCTGAGAAACGTAATCCAGGGTTAGAGACAAACAACAAAGGGAATTTCTGAAAACCCCAACATCATGTTGTGGGACATCATTATATGTTGTCTAGTCATCTACAGTTTCATCTTTCAGGTCTCATGTTTCAGTGTTGTATCTATACTGTAACAAATAATGTTTCACGTAGTATCGTACACATTGTATATTGTTCCATTTAACACTGACTGACTGAACTACTCACAGTCTTCTTAGTCACAGCTTGTAGATTCCTTTTTCCACATTTTTCAATTTTCACTGAAAATAATTAAGTAACTAAATGTGTAGATAATTATGTACTTGCACATTTGATGTAAGGTGTGCTTGTAACTTGGCTAGACTGGATTTGGGTATGCCATTAGAAAGCATCCTGCCTTAGACGTAAACTGCAGCAATCGTAGAGAGAGCAGTTAGCTGTTCGTGAATCGAGATGAAAGTTGTATCCATGTGGGATTGAACCGGACTTTTCGCGCAGCGAATTTAACGCTTTAACCACTAGGCTACCCCACCACCCCTGGGACTACCATAAGAGGTCAGGACTGCTGGGCAATCAAAGGATAAAGTGATCCAGTCATATGATGATAGATGCACAAGGAACATTCAGAGCCCCAGGAGGTGAGTTCAGAACAACCAGAAATTGACAGATCCATATTTGACACAATGAGGTTTTCTGACACAATGAGGTTTGACTGAACATGAACTTTGAAAACTGAAACACATCATCTGTGGGTATAAATGGGCTCATAGCACTTTTAAAATAAATATTTCAAGCACAAGTCATTTGCTTTGTTTGCAGTGCTGTGTCACTGGCTGTTGGTCCATGAGGAGGCTTAAACTTTCTTGTGGTCGGTTTCCATCTCACAGAAGGTATGCTCTGGGACCCAGACAAATGTCTTCACTTCCTCCACGCTGGTTGGGGCACAGTGAGATATTTCTGAAAATAGACAGGATTACATTTAGTTCTGGTCAATAAATGACCTTTTTAGACATTTACAAACCATATTACTATTGTACTGTTATTCTGAAATACTTCCAGGTCATCAGTTGTCCATCTGCCAAGGCCAAGAGGCAGGGAGTCCACAATCCCCCTTGCTTCCAGTAAATCCCATCTTTGTTGCCCAGCATGAGTGAGTGAGTGAGTTTAGTTTTACCCCGCACTCAGCAATATTCCAGCTATATGTGTAAATAATCGAGTCTGGACCAGATAATCCAGTGGTCAACGGTTTGAACATCGATCTGCGCAATTGGGAACCGATGACATGTGTCAACCAAGTCAGCGAGCCTGACCACCCGATCCCGTTAGTTGCCTCTTACGCCAAGCATGGGTTACTGAAGATCAATATTCTAGCCCAGACCTTCACAGGTATTGTTGCCCAGCAGTGGTCATTGACCTTTGTGATGGAAGCAACGCTAACTGCCATTTTGGTAAGGCTTGGTAGTTGCCACAGTTGTAGTCGCCACTTAGGCCAACGGTTGGTGCTAACAGCCACTGGCAGCAGTGGTTGCTATGGATAACTTTCAGTTATGATTAGATCATACTTTAGCTCCTGCAAACACATGCAGACCTTGTGACACTTAAACCACTCTTGGGTTGGGTTGTTGTTTCTAAGCACATGCATCCTCTGTTCGGATGAAGCAAAGGTTCACGCAGGTTAATGGTGAGATGGTGCAGTAGCATACCGAGATAGGTTTGCACTCTGAATTGCCAAATGAGGTCCTCAAGTCGGAAGGTCTACATGAGTGCCATGATTAACAGAACAGTGGCATAGTTATGGGCCCGAGAAACTGGCAGTTAATGGCTTCCTTGCAACTGGTTTGTGCAACAGATATGAGATTCTCTGATAAACTGAGTCCAAGCACTGCATATGTTCACTACCTTCACAACAACTTCAGCCATTGGTTCCAGGTAATTCCTGGCTGTGCTGAATGATCCGACTTACAACCCATTTTGACCAAAAAAAAGACAACATGAATTTGTACACAAGGCAGATTCCATGACAGTTCAAGGCAAAACAGTTGGTTAGATGAAAAACATCAATAACACATAATGTAATCACCTATTCTTAGTGAACCGTCTCCGTGGTGTAGTGGTTAGAGCGTCCGCCCAGAGAGCGGAAGGTCGCAGGTTCGTTCCCCGACCGCGTCATACCAAAAGACGTTAAAATATGGTACTTGTTGGTCCCTGCCTGGCGCTGCGCATTAATGGGTACAACAAGGACTGGTCGGCTCGAAGTCAGTATAATGTGTCTGAGTGGGGTATTCATGCTTCACTGCGGCATGGTATCTCAGTGGGCTAGCACTATAAAACCAGCTTCAGTCTGGGCTAGTACAAGCAGCCGCACATACACATACACACGCATGCACGCTGTCATATGAGCGAAATATTCTCAAGCATGACGTTAAACCCAATTTCACCTCACCTCACCTCACCTATTCTTAGTGAGTTCATAATCATCCACAGACACATTGTGATATAGAATTCATATGATGTGATGAACAACGCACTTTGTGTCAGCGTCTAGAATAACAGTTATCTTGGACTCAACACAATGACCACAGGAGTCCAACATTGTAAGGGGACATAACTCTGCATGGCAAATTGCAGTTCCTAATGGCACTTGACTAGGAGTGAGTGAGTTTAGTTTTACGCCGCACTCAGCAATATTCCAGCTATATGGCGCAGGTCTGTAAATAGTCGAGTCTGGACCAGACAATCCAGTGATCAGCATGAGCATCGATCTGCGAAATTGGGAACCGATGACATGTGTCAACCAAGTCAGTGAGCCTGACCACCCGATCCCGTTAGTCGCCTTTTACGACAAGCATAGTCGCCTTTTATGACAAGAATGGGTTGCTGAAGACCTATTCTACCCCGGATCTTCACGGGTCGCACTTGACTAGGAATAAACACAGATAGAAAAATATGAAAATACATACTCTTGTCCTTGAGGACATGCATAACTGCATCCATCATTTCCTTGTTTTGCTTGGACACCTTGCGATGGTCGACGATAGGCGATGGGTAATCCTTCCCTATCACACACTTCGCCTTCTCCTGGATTTCAAGAGGGGCCTTCCATGGCTCGTACAGAAACACAAGGGGCATGTCCTTCAACTCCGGGATGTAGCGTCTGAAACGCAAACCAAACCCTTACAAATTCGTAAAATGTAAAGATTATTTATATTTGTTTACTTATCCTGCATACCTCCTTAACACATTTACTGCTTGTTAATGACAAATACAACAAAGCTGTGAGAGGTCAACAGACATTGATGTTCCAACCCAAAAGTTAATTCCTACATAAAAAGTTACTAAATGAATGAACACAGTGAATGTTCTAATTACTGTAAGCATTAAGAAGCAGGGCCCTTATTCTCGAAACATTCGTAGCCCTAAGAATTCTTATCTTTGATCGTAGCCAATGTGTTACGAATGGACTTAAGAAGTTTGTAGGGCTACTGAAGCTTTAGGAGAATAAGGGCCCAGACTGGACTAGTTTGGTAATTTTAGGATCATAAATACAGCATGTTTTAAAAAACTGCTTGTCTGTGTATTTTGACTATACTGACCTTGATCTTCAAAGTCAGGTAATCACAAGCCAGAATATCACAAGTGTTGTAAATGAAGTGACATTGTGTCGTTTAACTGATATCATTTTACCCCAAAGCTGTGAGTCATGGTAACTGTTGCTGAATGAACAAATGTTGTTATTCTGAACTAACAATCACAACAACACTTGGTAGTTTCAGACATCACAGTCATGAAGTACCCACTGAACCAAGAGGTGAGGTGAGGTGAGGTGAAATTGGGTTTAGCGTCGTGCTTGAGAATATTTTGCTCATAAGATGACGTGCATGCGTGTGTATGTGCATGTGCGGCTGTTTGTACTAGCCCAGACTTAAGCTGGTTTTATAGTGCTAGCACACTGAGATACCACACCGCAGTGAAGCATGAATACCCCACTCAGACACATTATACTGACTCGAGCTGACCAGTCCTTGTTCTACCCATTAATGCCGAGCACCACACAGGGACCAACAAGTACCATATTTTAACGTCTTTCGGTATGACGCTGTCGGGGATCGAACCCGTGACCTTCCGCTCTCTGGGCGGACGCTCTAACCACTACAACGCGGAGGCGGTAACTGAACCAAGAACCAGTGAAGGAACTGAAAGTATGGATCATCACTTACAACGTTTCCAGAAGTGACAAGGATTTCAAACATGGCCTCGGAGGACACCGATTCACTTTCCCCAAACCAGAGCAATATTTCATGGCCTCGGAAGAAACTGTACTTCAACAATGAATTGCCAAATTAACAGATCATGGATACAAAATGATGTTCCTCTTAATGAGACAGACCCCAACAAGATCGTGTTTTGTTCCTTATAGATATGGTTTGGGTGAACAAGGTTAACTACAACAGACACGTCACTCATAATGAAACAACTCTCATCACATTATTATTACTTCACTGAACTGGCACAGAATCTCCAGGCTTGTTTTCACAAGAACAACTGACTTACCTGACGAATTCTCCTGATGGGTCAATACGGCGGCCGTAACCAACTGGACAAAAACATTTGGAGCACTGCAGAATACGCTCAAAGGCAGAGCTTGATACCCACATCCAGTTTCCAGCACATACTGACCAATCAGCATCAAGGAGGTACGTCAAAAATGTCTGAAATAAGACAAAAGGTTTTCATGACCATTAATTAAAACAAGAAGACAAAGTCATCAATATCCCCCGCAATGGCAAAATACTCTTCATGATTATGTCTACAAGTTATGATTATGTCAAATATTTAGGTGTGTATATAGAAAAGTGGAAGGAGAGTATTGAAAGGTTTTTAAAGTTCTGCTCCAAAAAGGAGCACTATCACCACTTTCAGTCTAAGTCAAACTTGTTGCCATGGAAATGCCAAAAAATATTTTATTCAGAAATCCAAAAAAACAACCAAAAGGCACCAGTACACCACCAGACCAATCTATGTGCCAAGTTTGGTGAAGAAACATTGAGCACAACCACCAATTTCGGTCTAAGTCAAACTTGTTGCCATTGAAACGCCAAAAATATTTTATTCAGAATTCCAAAACTACCAAAAGGCACAAGTACACCACCAGATCTATGTATGTGCCAAGTTTGGTAAAGAAACATTGAATGGTTTTAGAGTTCTGCTCCAGAAAAGAGCACTACCACTAATTTCAGTTTTAGTCAAACTTGTTGCCATGGAAATGACAAAAATATTTTTTTCAGAATTCCAAAACTACCAAAAGGCACCAGTACACCACCAGATCTATCTATGTGCCAAGTTTGGTGAAGAAATAGTGAACGGTTTTAGAGTTCAGCTCCGGAAAAGAGCACTACCACAATTTCAGGCTAAGTCAAACTTGTTGCCATGGAAACGTCAAAAATATTTTATTCAGAATTCCAAAACTACCAAAAGGCACCAGTACACCACCAGATCTATGTATGTGCCAAGTTTTAGGTGAAGAAAAAATATTGAACGGTTTTAGAGTTCTGTTGCAATGGAAACGCCTAAACATATTTTATTCAAATGCACCAAAAGGCACCAGTACACCACCAGATCCATGTATGTGCCGAGTTTGGTGAAGAAGGATCGAAAAGACAGATGTGCATTTTGACGGACGCGGACAGTCCATTTTAATCCCCCCACAAAACGCGTTGCGGGGGATAATAATAATTAATTAATAATTAGTTCATTTACATTGCGCTAAATCCACACGGACAGCATGCTCATCGTGCAGACAGTTCATTATTACTCTGGATAACTGAAGCTGTCTGTAAGGCACTAGCAGGTTATAGTCACCCGACTTATCCCAACAGGTACCCATTTTCTGCTGGGTGAACAGAGGAAATTCTGAACAAACTCACTTGCCTAACGTGAGACCACATGTATCACATGTGTTACCAAGTCTGCATGAACCGACAGCGTATGTCAAAAGCAGAATACAGACTTACCTTGTATTATGGACAAACACATTATCAAATTTCTAGTCCAGTCTCTGATTTTCTTTGGTGATGCTGCCTAACAATACTGCAGCATATATAGAGTGCTCAAACACAATCAGCCTGTTATTTGTATTTTCAGTACATTCTTTAAGTAGTACCCTACTCCACCAGGCTCAATCCTGTTAATGTTTTAGATGTTATAAATGACTCTAAGAATCCTCAAGCTGTCTGTGGCAAAGGATATTCATTAATGGCCTGTACAAAATTCATAATTTCCTGTCTAAGTTTCCATGATACTGATAGATCTGAAGTGCCAGTACAATTTCACAAAATGCCAAGACAAAGAAAGAAATGATGTCTTTCAGGTTGCATGTAATATGGAATAACAATGTTATCAAAATGTCAAAGGAAGTTAGTTATATTAAGTGAGTTATACTACTTCAAAAGTCTTGTCAGAATTTTCTGATATTATCGGATATACTGCCTCAAAGTATTGTATAATATACTGCCCCTAATTATTGTCAGATATACTCCCTCAAAGTATTGTCGGATATACTGAGTCAAAGTATTGTCGGATATACTGTCAGATATACTGCCTCAAAGTATTGTTGGATATAAGGCCTCAAAGTATTGTTGGATATAAGGCCTCAAAGTATTGTCAGAAATACCGTCGGATATACTGCCTCAATGTAATGTCGGATATACTGCCTCAAAGTATTGTCGGATATACCATCGGATATATTGCCTCGCAATATTGCCAGATATACCGTCGGATATACTGCCTCTCTAAGTATTGTCGGATATACTGCCTCAAAGTATTGTCGATATACTGCCTCAAAATATTGTCGGATATACTGCCTCTAAATATTTTCGGAAAGGTTATACTCCCTCTAAGTACTGTCGGATAGGATATACTGCCTCTAAGTATTGGTGGATATACTGCCTCTAAGTATTGGCGGATATACTACTTCTAAGTAGTGTCGGATATACTGCCTCAAAGTACTTTAGGATATACTGCATCCAAGTATTCAGGATATACTGCCTCAAGGTATTTAGGATATACTGCCTCAACGTATTGTAGGATATACTGACTCGAAGTCCCTCCTCCCAGCTGATCCACAGATCGCCTCGAGTGAGGAAGCAGGCGACGGCGTGGCGACACACATGGTGGATCCATCCCTCACTGCGCAGCTGCCTCATACAGGCGTCAATCCAGGGAAACCCAGTCATCCCCTGAAACACAACATCGCACACAATCACACAGGCTTCATTTCATACTATCTAAATCTCATAATCCTCAGACCTGGGACCTATGCCACAAAACAGTCTTAACACTGAAGTGATCATAACTAACATATTTTAATACAGGCTCAGTGATAACCTCAGCACTAAGATCACTTTGTGGAACTAGGTTCTGGCCAATGTATAGTTCTCAGCCAACATGCCGATATACAGTTGACAATACACAGAGAAACAGCCCCACCTGCAGGCCTCTGTAGGCAAATCTTGCTGCCATATTATATCACAGGTCTTACAATGGTAACCAAGGATATGCTAAGGAAGTACCCATTGTCTTACCCTGAAGGACACCCTCACACCTTACACAAAGATTCATGCACTTGATATTAGGGGTGGGTATTGCATAGAATTTTCATATTGCGATATATTGTGATGCAAAAGCATATATTGCGATATGTATCGCAAAATATTGCAAGGAGTATTTGTGAACAAATAAATACTTATAATGGAGTTAGTGCTTGATTTATAAAGCAAAAACACAACAAAATCACTATGTTTGATTAAGCTTTAGTAACAACTTTTAATCATGACAAAATAAAATCGTAAATAATATTTGGCACAAATGATACAAGTTAATATCCGAACATTTCAGAGTGTTACGAACTTATCCGAATGCAAGTCAAAATACCGGTTTTCGATCAGCGTATCGCAATACGTATCGTTTTCATGTCTGAACCGGTTATATTGTGCAGCCCTACTTGATATAAACAGGGCTACAATTAATGACAGTGCACAATCACCATCCACAACGGTAAAAGAACAAGATAAAGACTGAAGTTGAGACAAATATCAGGATGCATGATATACAGCACATGGCACTGTTAATCATAGCACATAGTTACTGCATGTCAAATTTTAGTACAATATATTCAGAAATGACTGGACATTGATCAAAACCAAGAGTTTCAATGTGTCAGCCATTTAAAACATGACTGGACCATAGTGAAAGAGCTGCTGTGTTGCTTTCAGCAGGGCGGTGGGTAGCCAAGTGGTTAAAGTGTTCGCTCGTCACGCCAAAGGCCCGGGTTTGATTCCCCACATGGGCACACTGTGAGAATTTGACAATCTTGGAATGAGTTATCTGGAAATCCCAAAATTTTAAAAGTATATTTTGGCTTTAAACTGTTATCAAAAGTAAATTAAAAGATATTTATCAGCAAACATGGATGTCAACAATTGAAACCTCCTCCAAAGCAACCACTTATAGCATTTTCAAAAATCCATTTCTCAATTTTGAACCATACCTAACTTTCTTGCATTACAATAACTTGTTAAAATTTTGAACTTCCAATCATTTTCTTCCAGTCGAGACAGGTAGATGGCGACGAATCCCAGTAAATGATAGAAAGTATACTATGTGTAACTTAAATTATATTGGTGACCTAATTTCATTATTTAATTATATATCCTAAATTAGAATTAGAAAGAGAAAACATATCCAGAGGTATTATTATATTAGACCAAATATGTATAAAATGAATATCCTATTTAACACCAAGAAACTAGGAACTTTAAGAAAACTTTCAATTTTTGTACAAAAATTATGGCTTTATTTAAGAAATAATTTCAATAACTTATTATGTAACTAGCTCATTGTACATTGCACCTATAATAATGTTTGCATATACTTTTATGTTGTATAAATGTAAATATTATTTATGTACCTCTTATGCTGCAGTGTGCAGTTTGAGTGAATAAAGTTCAGTTCAGTCAGGAGAAGCCCATTTCTGGTGTCCCTCGCTATGATATTGCTGGAATATTCACTCATTTTCACAAGCAAGCCAGTTGCATCATAGCTTGTCAGCAGAATGTGGGCAGCTACGCCTCAGATATTGATCACTGACGCAAAACCCAAGAGCAAGGGATGGGTACGGTGTTGAGAAACCTAGAAACATAACCAGTCTGGATTTGAACCAAAGATCATGGCTTTCTGATGTGCCAAAGGGATGCAGTTGGATTTCGTGCCTTACACAACACATCAAGTCTCAAGCCTGATGACATCAAGTCATGAAGCCTGAGGAGGCTGTGGGTAGGCTAGTGGTTAAAGCGCTCACTTGTCACACTGAAGACCCAGTTTCAATTCCCCACATCGGTACAATGTGAAGCCTATTTCTGGTGTCCACCACTCTGATATTGCTGAAATATTGCTAAAAGCAGTGTAAACTAACTCACTCACTCACCATAAAGCCTGAGGTTTAAGATATGTAGAAAATGGACAAATGAACTACTGACTGGTAACATAACACCACAACAGTCATGTAAATCTTGTTCAGGTGAGCTATAACATGACAAAAGTTGTCGCATCGAACCATGGTTTAGCAGCTGACCTTGACACTCGGGTTTCTGATGAAAACCTACCTTTTCCCATTTATTGAAAACCTCTGGTCTTTCTTCCATGGTATGTTCAGACAGATAGGGTTGTCCTTCAGTGTTGTAGGCTTTTATGTTGTTGACAGACATGGTGTAGAAGTATTCCGCCAGATAAGCTGGGATGTTGCACCTTCTGGTAGCTGCTTTTTCTGGACACACCTGTGCAAGTGAATATTGTTTTATGCCACAGTACTGCTATATGCTTATAACATACTGGTGTGAAAAATAATGAAGCCTTGGAAACATGAAACATCACAATTAACGTTAAACCCTTTGTCATTGGCACAACAACATTCAGCAAAACATGCTGAAACCAGTCCCAACGCGTCAGGTTTTATACAAGCCTTTTTCCCCTTCAGAAGCCAGGACAGCTGAGCTCAGAAAAAGAACACTCATAAACACACACAGTGGTTAAAGGGCCACTGATCCAGAGCAATTAATGTTTCTCGCCAACAGTCTAATTACGTTAAACCTAGCTGCAAACTGGTCAGCCCCTGCTCCCTCGACCGTGACGGACGCTGGGACTGGGCTACTGTCCACCTTGGCAGAATTTCTTCAACCTATCAGTGGGACATTAGGAAGGGTGGATGCCCATCAGATGCCGTTATTTGAAAATATCTGTGGTAGTTCTTATCTGATTGTAATACTGACTGACTGACTGAGTTTAGTTTTACGCCGCTTTTAGCAATATTCCAGCAATATCACGGCGGGGAACACCAGAAATGGGCTTAACACATTGTGCCCATGTGGGGAATCGAACCCGGGTCTTCAGCATGACGAGCCAACGCTTTAACCACTAGTCTACCCCACAGCCCCCTGATTGTAATAAAGTATCCCAGCAGTGTAGGCTTTTTCAGATTTTGAAATGCTTGGATGGTATAGTGAATGATCCAATTTGATCCTATTTCTGTGTTTTTTACCTCAATATTTAATCATGTAAAAATATGATGTCTATTATGTATGCTATGATATCAAAAACACACATTTGATATATTTGAATCCATAAACTAAACAACCCCACTTTGCCATTGCAAATTAAATCTGAAATTTTACTTAGGAACATTGGTATATACAGCTTTTAACTCAAGTAATTACAGCAAATGCTTAAGCATATTTCTTATGTAACAATGAAGTCTGCCTCAGATCCCCAAAACAGTGTCGGCCCATAACTTGTGTTGTTTTTCAGGCAATCAAACTTGCATGCAATACGCTGTAGCCGCGACACTACTTTCTTTGCTGTGTCCCTTTGTTTGGTGGTGTAACTCTTACACATGTTATTTGTCATCATTCAATTTGATGGTCAGTTAATGAATTTATAAAAGGTATAATTAGTGATAACACCACTCAGATTAATCTCACAAAGGTTCCTGCATTTGGAATTTCTTGGCGCCTTGAGTAAATAATACTCATCATTATAAATTGATCGCCTCGAGGTAATAATAATAATAATATGGCACTTTTATAGTCGCGCTAATACCCATATACCTCACAAAGGCATGCCTAAAGCGC